GCAAGCAGGTTTACTGCAGTTCTAAAGCAGTGCGAGTGCTGAAAAGCAGCGCGATAAAGAGGCGTAGAACATCTATTGCGGAATAAGCAGTGCAGAAAGCAGTTTAATTTGAAAATATTCCTGTAGCACTGCTTGCTGTGCCTATCTGCAAGCAAATTAATTCTTTTAAACAATTTGAAACAAATTTCATTGCAAATAGTTGGTTGTGTTGTGCGATTTTCAAAATTATATTCAAAGCAGCACATTCGTAGCTTGAGATCTTTAGAAACATGAACTCAGTAGGTTGTTGTCGATTACTTTTTTCCCCAAATAAAGTGTTGTTGCAAAAAAAAAACATTTTTAATCTCACAGACAGAATATTTTAGATCCAAAAAAAAAAACGTACTACAAATAATGTGTATGATTATTTAAAGCTACCCGATAGTTATAATTTTTGTTGCTAAATAAATCAATTTAATATAAATGCTAACTTTAAAACATGCAATAAATACAAGTTTATATTTTTTAATAAACATAACTGTAATTTGATCGTTTCTGTAGTTAAAACAGTGTTTATTGTTAAAATGCCATAAAAAGCTGTTACGAAAATATTTAATGCTTCTCCACTTTGTCCTCATAATTATTCCCATAAATTAAAACCGAATTAACTTTCAGCCCACATTTAAATAATGAATAAATCGTTCGTTTTCGGTATATTTCAATTTTCATTTTATTTAAACATGTCATTGCATTTATTTTCTCACTTTAGGTATTTGTTTTCTTTGCATTTTTTGTTTTTGTTTTTGTTTTGTCTTTATTTATAAACATTTTTCACAAACATTTCTTATTTATGTTTTACACAATTTTTATTGCGGTTGATGTGTGATGGCAATTACAACAATTATTTCAACTATTCTTGTATAATTATGCTACTAATTTGTCACACACATGCATTTTATTTACTTGCTGGGATTGATTTGTTTTTATTGAGCATTTGATTTGTAAATTATTAGTTGACATCTGTTATTATTCTTTTATTGTTACATACTTGTGTGTTGTATTTGCTAACAATTTCTTTTCATTTCTTTAATGTAGGCGACCTAATTTCATATTTTCGCTAAATGTTAGTTGATGTTTCTGGCTTACTCACTTAGTTCTATAAAGTAAGGTGATTTGCAGTTTATTGATTCGACATTTGACATTTGCTAGCATTTCTTTTGGTTTTTTATTTTTTATTTACAACATTTCCATGTGTTAGGAGTTTTGAGATTTACTTTGATTGTTAGAAATGTTTTTTTTTTGTTTTTTGAGTGTTTTTGGAAGATATGTGTTATGACTTTGTTTTATTACGTTTAAATGGTGCAAGTACAATTAATTTGTTGCTAGTAGTTGCCATTAGTGGGACTGAAACACTAACAGTGAAGATGATTGTGTGTGTGTGTGTGTGTGTGAGTGCCTAATTGGAACGGTAGATGAGAGCCTGGTGACGTAATACATACTATATATGTGAGTGTATGTCTGCCTGTCTGTAGTGGCCGCTTTTCTAGTTTGAATTTCTTTCGTTTGCAACACTTTATGCTTAACAGCTAATTACTAATTATACGTTTACTTACTCACTAACATTTTGCTTGCTAATTTACGTTAAATGTTCACGTTATTTTCTTTTGTTTATGTTTTTGTTTTGCATGTTTTTGTTGTTGTTCGAACTTGTAAGTCTTTTTGAACGCATCTAGAAAGTTGTGCACTTTAAGCCTAACCGTAACCGTAACCATAACCATTTACACTCAACCGCTGTTGTTGCTTGTTTAAACTATTTACAATTCATATATAATTAATTGGACTAATGCAGACAGATTTGAAATGATAATTGACCAACCGACCGAATTCAATATCGAATATCAGAAACTAAGATAAGTTATCAATCAGCTCAACCAATGCCAAGTTTCGAGTTAGAGAGCGCAAATGAATTCATAAAATATCATCTGATACATACAAGTAGATACATAGCTAATTAGTTAGTTAATGTTACTGCTCCTATGTCTCCTATGCTAGCTTTATAGATACTTTATTCTCGTTATTCCCAATGCTGCTCTTATTATGAAGTTTAACATCAATCAACACACATCAACATGCCTAACACTGACGACTACGATCTGTGGCGATCGCCTGACTATATGCTCACATTTAAAAACCCTGTATGTTCAATAGCTTCAATATATATATATATATATATATCTATATATTTATATATAAATACAACTACGAGTAATTTGCATTTCCATTTAAATGTTGCCTCCTCTCTATTATTCATCTAATTATTTATGCATGTTTGTTGTCGAATCCGATGAGCAAGTTGCTTGGCACGTTCTTTAACTAAGTACATAGTACATTTATGTTTTTTTTTTTATTTATATATAAGTATGCATACATATGTGCTTGCATTTGTGTGTCTGTGTGTGTGTCTCTGTGTGTGTTTGTGTTCATTTAACAATTGTTTATGTGCTAGGTGTTGTGATTTCTTTTTGTTTTTCATTTCATTGATTCTGCATATAATTTTGCAATTTTTGTTTTGGTTTTTCTTTTTGCTTACCTTTAGTTTTTGGAAACAAAAGTGAAAAGTATGAGAAGCAGTAAAATATAATGCAAAACGAATTGGAAGTAGTAGAAGAAGAAGAATAAACAAGCGTAAGTTGAAAATGAAAGCGTAGACTACGAAATGTTAGTTGCTGTTTAAGGCTTATGCTATGTAGAATTCAGTAATCAGTAATCAGTTATCAGTATTCAGAGTATCGGGCTCTAGCCATATGCCTTGAAAATACATATGGCAATGGAAGTTATCGCGTGTGGCATCTGAAACCCAGGACATTTTTGTATTTGAGAGGCTTAATATTTAATCATAGGTATTAGTATCTTCTTTTTTGTTGTTGTTGTTGTTGTTTTTTTGAAGATGTTTGTGCATAGACTTGGCATAAATGTAAGTTAAGTTGGATTGTTCATATGAATATATGTAAATATATGTAGGACTCGTCTACAGCGTCTACAGAACTTATGCAATTAGTTGATAATGATTTGTGCAGACCGCAATACAGATTGCCGCTGCTCTGACAAAAGGCACTTAAACAATCAAAATGCTGGAGCATTAATACAAAATGAATTTGTTGGCTTACGAGTAGTTTAAACTTGTAATTTGTTGTTACTTTTGGATTTTATTCTTTGGGTTTTGCTCTACTTGGTAAAAACTATTATGTACTGTGTATTGTCTGTTAATTGGTATAATTTTTGTTATTTTTTTAATAATTATTAAACTACAAGTACTTAAGGAAAAGAACTAGCTAAAGGCGGCATACGCCCACAACTAGCAGGCCAGCCGTCCATGGGCATATGCCTGATACATAATTTAGTAATTTGAATATAAAAGTTATCATAAAATGTATCATACTAGTTATGAAACAATACTTGTATCATTGGCAAAGTTTTAAATGGGCATAGTCCTAACTGAATATTAGAATGCAATTTTTTTCACTGATCTGTGTCATGGAATTGTTGAATAGAACGCAAAATCACTGATCATGAATTATATATCTAAGCCAACGATCATTGACATAATCATATATAACAATCGTCATCATCTAAGAAGTGCCAAATTTTGGAATATAGAAAAAATTGGAAAAGATTCAAAATTTTAACGTGATCTTTATTTTTTCACTAATCAGGTTTAAATCCAGATTTGAAAATGCTAATAATATTGATCTTTAGAACCTTATAAAATATATATTTTGAAGTTGAAGAAAGTGAAGAAAATCTGATAATTTATTTTTTTATACATTCTAAAAATATATGATATTTTTCTATATATATTTTTTTAGTGATCAGTGATCTCTTATATTTTTGATTAGAGCTTAAGATCAGGGATTTTCGATTTGAAATTGGTTAAGTTATTTCAACTTGTTTGGCGCCAGATAAAGAATTAATTAATTTGATAATAGTTTTATTTTTATAATTTCCTACTAAGTCGAACTGATCAGAAATTGAAGTTATAAAACATACTAAATTACGAAAATATCTGAAAAAGGGTAGTAATAGGAAAAAGTGGCTTTATTAATAGTAGAAAGTTAATAATTGATCTTGAATGGGGATTACTAAATGAACTCATCTTTAGAAACAATTACAGCCGTAATCGAAAAAAATTTATTGATGAGGGCTAGTAGTAGGAAAGTGGCTTTATTAATAGTAGAAAGTTAATAATTGATCTTGAATGGGGATTACTAAATGAACTCATCTTTAGAAACAATTACAGCCGTAATCGAAAAAAATTTATTGATGAGGGCTAGTAGTAGGAAAGTGGCTTTATTAATAGTAGAAAGTTAATAATTGATCTTGAATGGGGATTACTAAATAAACTCATCTTTAGAAACAATTACAGAAGTAATCGGAAAAAATTGATCGATCTTCGAACGGCGATCAGTGATCTTTAATAATTAAATTGCTTCCTGATTACACACTACCATTTGTTATCGGAAAAAATAGATCGATTACAATCAATTAATATTGAAGTTGTTTTAATGATCAGCGATCATTTGGATCAGTTTCCTGGACGTTATAAGCAAACAATTAAGAAATATTTAGTATGATCAGTTTTGTCGTTCTAATATGAGAGTTTAAAAATCGCTTCGTTAGTTATAGATCAGTGATCAGATGTTGACTATGCCCACTGGTGGATTGTTAGTTAGTATATACTAATTGTAACTACATAAACATATTTGGCACTAATTTTCAAAATGTAATTATTAGTTAATAAAAAACTAATCAAAAACTAAACTGAACTGAACAAGTGAGAGAACGTTTCATTGCGTAAGAAAATGAATATAACTCTAAGGATTAGGAATTTCACTAAATAGAAAAACTTGCGGTACCCACCAGTTCCAGTTAATATTTTTAAATATATTTGTTCATACGCATTGCCAATTGAATTAGTTGTAATAGGAATATTTGCCAAATTGAAAAATAAAACATAACTCGCCTTTTGCAGTGTGCTTCAAATTTGTATTTGTTTTTCATTTTGGATTTTCTTTTATTTCACAAAACCGTTTTGCATGTTTTGCTTAAAAGTTTATTTATTTGTTGAACATCATTTAATTTTCCTAGTTTTTCAATGTCGATTAGTTGTAGCTGTGTGTGTGTGTTTGTGTGTTTGTGAGAGAGTTTTCCTCTATTTTTATAAAACTAAGCTTAAATAATTAATCTAGACGCTTTTTACAATTATTTAAACTAGACTTTATGGTTTTGCAATACGCTTAAAACTTATGACATATTTACAAAATCGGGCGCCAGCGACGTCCGCTGAAGATTCGCCTTATATTGTTGCTGTTGCTGTTGTTGTCATTTAAAAGGATTCTACGACTTTTTACAACTAACTTAGCGATTTCTTAAGTACAAATCAATGTTGTGTGTTCGCAATTTATTGGTCTAAACTCAACAGAACGTCTTGTTAATTAGCTAAAAAATAAGTAATTAAATTACATAACAATTTCTGATTTCTGGTTTCATCAAAACAAAAAACAAAAAAATCACACCAAAGAATTACACGCGTTTAAAAACGCCAGCAAATCGCGCCAAATGAGAAAGTTTTCCAACTTGGCGTAATTGTTTGATTTTGATTTATAATATATTTTCTAAATTGTTTTCTCATTCCAATTTTCGTTTAACTACTACGCAGTCACACTTGATCAACTTATCTTACAATTATTTGCATATCAATTTAATTTATAGAATTATGTATATTTCATATTTTGTTTTCATTGGAAGTGCCTTCATACATACTCGTACTCGTAGTCGTACTCGTACTAGTATAGGTGTGTACTTGTATGTTTGTGTGTGTGTGCCTTGACCAACACAAACATAGACGAGTATGCATATACATGTGTTTACTATATATACTCGTATATGCAGATATCGCACGATATACATACATATGTACTGCAGATAATTTCATCTTGGATTCTACATAGCCTTTGACAGTGAGTGACAGATAGAGAGACGCGCTTTAGAAGGTCCTTTAGTTTTGTAGGTGCAATCAAATCAGTTGATTGTTTGTTTGATTGTTTGTTTCGAATCAAATCGAATCGAATCGTACAATGAATCAAATCATAGGTGAAATGAAGCCAACAAAGCGTTATGTAAGAAAGTTCATAACCAAAGCGTGAAGGGAAACAAGGTTGAAAGAAAAAAATGAAAGAAATAGGTTAGTACAATCTTTGGTTGCTGTTCCATATACGTCTCTAGTAAAGTAAGTTAACAAAGGTAACGGCATTTACTCATCCTCCTCCTCCCTGAAGAGATATGTGCTCCAGTAGACCAGATTGAAGAGCGCGAAGACCAGCGGGAAGGTGATGCGTGATATAACATCGATTCTCTTCGATCTAGAACATTGTCTTGGATAAATATTCAACAAGTACGAAACACATTAATTGATCATCTAGAGATTGGCTTTTTGATTTGTGAGTTTCTTTTGGTTTTTCGTTTTTATTATTTTTGTGTGGTTTTTGTGGTTTGTTTGTTTTATTATTTTTTTTTTTTTCGTAAAACGTTGCAGCAAATAATTTGTTTGTTTTAAAATTTGTTAACACTACGTGCGCCAAACAGAAAAGTGTGGCATACTTGTATTTGTAAATTAGGGCAGGATATAGGTGCCTACGAATGATGGAAACATTAGGAGAACTACTTATGGGCTGCAATTATATTTATAGACGCACACTTTCTCTTACGATAAAACTTGTCTTCAAAATAAATGCGGGAATCTACACAAGTGCTCTTAAAAATATTGTTCTAAAATCCTATTGATAACTATCAATTAATTTTGAAAAAAGAAAAATTAAAAATGAAATTACCTGCTAAATAAGTTATAATTTCTTTGTAATTAAACTAACCTGGAGTTGGCTCTTTGTCGCCAAAATCTAAAGCAAAAAGTTCAGAAATATGTTACAAATAGACGGACTGAGAACAGACTACAAAATATATTTAAATATATATCTCTAATTGAACTAAAAATATGCTACATGAAGTTCATAAATATAATGTAATTGAAAAGTATCTCACAGATATAGTGGAGACTTAATAAAGCAGATAAAAACATAAAGTAACGTTCATTAAAGTGTATTTAAATTTATCTTAGTCTAACATATAGATAATTATAAAATATTGTTGAGGAATAGGTGTTTTTCAGAAGAGAAAAAAACATTTTTTTTTTACAAATTTGTTTAGAATTTTTTTAGATTTTTTATTAGAATTTGTTTTAGAATCTTTAATTGGAGAATCCTTAAATTAATCTAAGTTATGGCAAATCTATCGTAAAATTAAAATTAAAAATGAAAGTATATCTTAAAAACAGTGCAGACTTCATTCGATAAGGAGGCAAAAAAATAAAGAGCTGTTAATTGAAGTATCTTTAAATTCAGCTAAGTAGATAGAACATTTATATATAAAATGAGAAATCTTTTAAATAATATCAATAACTGCTATAAAACTATCTTCCAGATTCTAATAGTTCATCTTGCATTGTTTCTCCTATAGATGCTAATGGTTTTATACAAAGTTATTTTATAGAAAAGTATCTGAAATATGATATTGCTTAATCGATAAATATTTATAATTACTCTATCGAGTAATTGGTTTTAGATTCATGTGAGTTGGGAAAGTGCGCGTCTAAGTGAGATATGAATGTGGAGTTCTACAAGGTTGTAACAAGTTGGATATTTGGGAAGACTTTGGTGCCAAACCAACAAAGAAGTGCTCTTAAAAGTTCTACAACAGAAACGTCTTAAAACAAACAAATCAATGGAAAGCAAAGCAATTTATTTAATTTGAAAATTCATCTTCCACACAAATGTTCAGCATTTGTAAAGAGCTTCAAAGCAAAGCAACAAATAATTAGCATAAGGAAATTAAATAATCATTTACTTGATTGTATTTTTTGTTGTTTTTGTTAGCAGCAATCGAAATCATTTTGGCAAGGAAGGAACAAAAGACAGCGAGCAAAACAACAGAATAACGTTGAGAACGGCAAGGCAAGCAGCAAAATAGAATTCGAGAGGCAAAAATTAACGAAATCGGGTTGACTTTTTTCGTTTTTGTAGTTTTTTTTCTGTTTTTGTTTTTCTTCAGTTTTTTTTTTTTGTAAGTCAATTTAAGGTTTTCAATTACTGTACTGTTTGTATGCAAAAAAGTGAATAACAAGAGTTAGACAGAGAGATAGAGAGATATATACACATAGATATATATATATATATATATATATAAATTTTTTTTATATATATATTGTATATTCACAACATCAAAAAGGAAATCCATCAACTACTACGTAAACGCACAGAACTAGACGCTAGTTAGGGACAATCGTTGAATTGTCAGTTACCTTGTGGGGAACTTCGATAGCCAAGTCTTACAGCAGTTCGGACGTTTCGGGGGCTGCATGTGAACCTCGCACTGTCGCAGTTTTTCGAGCGCCAAAGGATCGGCAGGATGGCGCACCAGCGGTTTCTGTAGGCCGCAGCGACCAAATTGCGATGCCGTTTGAGATGAAAGTTGCGTTGTAGTTAATGCAAATGAGGGCGGTACATGGGGGCGTGGTTGTGAGCGTGATTCGATTCGATTAAATTTCGATGCATTCATTTTTTTATCCAATTTCATTTTCGTTCCGCGGCAGCGCATGAACAAACGACGGTGGTGTTGATGTTTTTTGGTTGTTGGGTTGGTAGGTGGGTTGATTGGTTGGTTTTTATGGTTTATTTGTGGTTTTGTTTTTTGGTTGATAGTAGTGGTAGGTTTTGTTGTTGTTATTGTTTTTATTGGGATGAGCACGTTTGAAAAAATTGTTGAATTTTGTATTGTTTTTGTTTTTTTATATGGTTATATAAAAAAAGAGGTAAATATAAAAGAAAATAGTTGTTTTAATAGTTTTATCATCGTAATTTATGAATTGCCAATTGGTATGAGAAAAATAAAATTGGTTTAGTTAAGAGTTAATGAACTAATTCATCAATCCCTGTTCAAAGCTAATAGAATGGAATTTCCAAGCCTAATTATCGATAGTACATTAGTCTTTGGTCTCCAATTAAAATAGTACATGTGTTTAAGTTTTTAAGAAAAATATCGAAGAGATCTAAACTGCTTTTGGTTTCTGAGCTATTATTAGAATCTTGCATTCGTGTTAAAGGCTCCTTTTAAATAAGGTTTGTCTCTAGTTTTTTTTTTTTTTTTAAATGCTTTCTGTCGATATCTTCAAAACTAGTATGTATCAGCAGTATTGTTCATAGCCCATAATAGTAGTTTTTTTTAAAGAAAGCTTTCTGTCGATAGCTTCAATACTAGTATTTATCGGAAGTATTGCTTTTGGTTGTTGAGCTATTGTTAGAAGACCACATTTTACATTCTTGTTAAAAGCTTCTAATTAATAAGACCAGTCTGTAACTTATTTTAAAGGATCCTTAGTTGATTTCACTATCGATAATATCTATAGTAAATAGCATCGAAATCTATAAATATCGTTTTGAGAGATTGTTGATAGTAACATTTTCTAATACTGATAGTTCTGTAGATAGATAGATAGATTGTTTCGATAGATTTGTTTGCTTTAAAAGTTAAATGGATTAATGAAGATGGATGTAATGGCCTCCAGGCGAAGGATATTTACAGCCTATAACTATTATTGCTTAATATTTATCAAAGATATCTGATATCGCTAGTCAAATATTGAAATGTGGTTCATATGGAAAATAAATATCTTTAAATTGTTTCTGTTTAAGAGCGAGCCATTATGGATCATTTGAAAAGCTTTAAGGGCTGAGAAACAGATGGAGAAGAAAGTGCAACGAGCAAAAGATTCATGGTTTGTTAAGATATAGCATCGATAGGCCTTTATATCTTCATATTTTGCTCTGGGAACATTGAAATAGCTGAGTAAAGAAAACAACTTTGGAACCTCTAGTGAAAATCCATTCTTCCTGAATTACTCCTTTTACTATTGATGCTAACTAAGAACTTAAGAATAACCCCATCGGTCCCATAACTGAAGTTGTTAGAGTACAATATAGTAGAATAGTTAGATAAATCAAGAGGTAAGTACCATTGCGAATGTTGCATTGCTATCTGTGTCGAGCAGATCTGAAGCAGCATCTAAGCTGGCCTGCTCCAAATCGCGTCTTTTCTTTTTAATATTATCCTTATGCATGTCTGCGGCCCGATCCGTATATGTGGCATGGATGGCGTGAGGTAAAAGATGTTTGACAAGAATTTATTTGTTCCACACAAGTTGGATAGTTGGATAGATAGTTCGATTTACAGTAATTTACATTTGGGAGAGTTCATGTTAGATGTTAGATGCATAGCACACATACACACACAGAGTTACACAGAGATTTACAGTTAGAGCAATAGACAGAGAGACAAAGAGTGTGAGAGAGAGACAGAGAGAGAGAGAGAGAGATAGCCATACGCACAGAAATGTTAAACAATATTAAAATGTATTTTCAATAAATTCAAATAAAAGTGCAACAAAACAGTTTTCAAATATGCGTGGAACATATGTTGATTTGCATGGCAAATGAAAACAAAATCAAAATAATAATATTTACCACAAAGAGGCGGTATTTACAGGCATGTTCAGACACAACAGCGTTACGATTCAACGAAAATAAAAGTGAGGTTAAAGGAAAATTCAAATGTTTGTTTTTTGCGATACCAAGTGTGTTATTTATTCAGTTGTGTTGTCCAATTCGTGAATATATTTTATGTTTTTCAAACGCGTTTGTTGTTGTTGTTATGTTATGGTTTTTGGTTTGGTTTGGTTTGGGTTTTTGTGTATTATGGTGCGGATACGCAATGTGAATGAATGTGGGCGCACAATGAAATAAGAGAGTAAAACAAAAAATGGATTAGTAGGAATGAACACTGACACACTGAAAATTATTATTATATTTATTATTTTTTTGTTCTTGATTTTTTTTGTTCTCGTATTATTATATAAGAAATTTACAGCTAAAATCGTTGGGTTTTATCAACAAAATTAGTAAGCTGACCAAAAAGAGTACGTTGCCCAAAAAAGTGTACGCCGCAGTGTAGAGCTGGCCTGTGTGTGCTTGAGTTGGTGTCTGTGGGTGTATCTGTATGTGTGTGTGCGAGTCACGTCTGTGTGTCTGTCTGTCTGGCTGTGTGTCTGTGTGTTTAACAGTCCGTGTTTACAAATGTTTAACAACGAATGCGTTTAATCAAATGTCAAACCGCCAGGCTGGCAGTTATAAATGCTTTGTATGCATTTTTGCTGTTGAATGTTTTTGTTGTTCTTGTTATTGTTTGTATCTGTTATTGTAGGTTGTGTTAGGTACGTCAAATATTTATATATATATATATATACTTTTTTATATACACAATATACGTTTTAAATATATATGGATATATAAAAAGGAACGTTTCGTTTCGTTTTATAAAAAACAACAGTAAAAAAGATAAACACCATCGATTAATACATTTATAAGTTAGTTAAAAAGCATATCAAATCTCAATTACTAGGTTTATTCAAACCTGAACGGGAGGCATAGTTCACGAGCGCGAATTCTAGCAGTGCCCCAAAGACAAACGTCAGACAGACCCCGGTCCAGACGTCAATCGCCTTCGTATACGATACCGGCGGCAGTGAGGCATTAATGCCCGATGTTTGTGTGGCCATTGTGAGTAGTGTTGTGACACCTGAAAGAATTTGTGATATCGAATGAGTGCGGGGTGGCTTGTGAGTAAAACGAATGAGTGTTGTGTGGGAAACTTTCAGTTTGTCTGCAAGAGAAATGTTCAAGTTTTTATCGAATTCGCATAAAAGATTATAGAATGGTTACAAATACAATGCTTTGTTTCTTATGCGACAAGGACTTTAAAGGTTATTGATTTATTTATTTACTGATTTCTGGCTCCAAAAGAAGCTGTTCACTTATATGCTAGGTATTATCACATCTAAATGAAAGGCTGTTTTATTTGTGTCGATTTACCGCTACGATATATTTCTAAATCTAAAATACTTCGATTTAGATTTTTTTTTAGAAAAACCATAATCGGAATGATCCTTTTGAATACTTAAAATATGAATAATACTAAAGTACATTTTAATAAAAAGCTTATTAAAAGCAACAAAAAAAATAAAATAAAATAAAATAAAATAAAGAAAATAAATTTAAAGCACATACATTTTTAATGTTGTTCTTTATGAAGCGACTTATAATATTGAAAATACAAAATTTAGGGGGTACGTAAATTGAAAAAAGAAAATTAAATAAATACAATACTAATTAATGAAACAATTTAACTAATCAATCTATATTAAATAAAAAAACGAATGAACAAAATCTATGAAAACATAAATGCGTGAATTTTTGAATCAATTGATGAAATGATTAAAGGAAGGAATAAATAAAATAATAAATATATAAGAAGAAGAATCAGCCAAAGATATTATTAATGAATAAAAAATTAAATAAATAAATAAATAGGAAGAAAATATAAAAACCACAAGTAAATAATATTTATTTATTCGTTTATTTCTAAGCTTTTCTTCATTTATAAATAAGTGACAAAATTATAAAAAAGTCACAATAATTAATAAATAAATGAAACACATTAAAAAAGAATAATAAATAAACAAACTAATATGTAAATATAATTATAAAGAACATTTTTTGATCGAATAATTTTGAAAAAGTACGAAAACATTTATAAATTATTTACTGTATTAATTAAATTGACTTAATAAAATAAAAACGAATAAATCGTTGTTTATTTTTGTCTACTAAAATTCTTTTTAAAGAAATCAGTAAATGTATTAATAAAAAAATTAATCAGCTCAGGAAGTAAAAGTAAATTTATGAAAATTATAATATCTAGTTAAAAAATTTATCATTGTAAAAATAATAATAAATACATGATAAATAATTTCCAAAATACATTCCAAAATATAGGAAAAAATTTATTAATAAATAAAAATGTATAAATAACAAATGAATTGTAAAAATTAAAAATAAACAAGTGTCTTAATATGTTTATTGGTTAATTAAAAACAAAGTTATTATTGATGGAGATAAATTAAAGCAGTCACTCAACTGGCAAATTGTAGTCAGTTATGAAAACATAAAATACACTTCAGAGTTAGTTAAGGTATTGGTAATAAATAATATGCAGTCTGCATAGTAGCAGAACATATTATTAAGGTGTGTTTTTCATACATTTTTGCAGAAATATACTTTTGTTAATTAATTTGTTATATTACTTACCCAATGAGACACGTGCTGGCACGGCGCCTTGATCGAGCCAGAATGACACCCATGAGACAATGACCAACATACAGCATGGTATATAAATTTGTATTAAGTAATATGAGAATTCTCGCTTGAATAGTAGATCGACTTTGAGGCAACTGTATTCACCTATGAGTATACAAGGTATATAAATTGTGTCAAACTTAAAATGTACGGGAGGATGTTTTTAAAGAGAGGTGTTGCTTTACATTTCATTTCTGATTTTTATACTCTTCTTTTTTGTTTCTTTTACCCGCGCAGGCATACAGATAGAGACACATACGTACGTACATATATACACATGAAAGTCAGAGAGACAGATGGGTTGGGGGGGGGGGGGGGGGGGGGGGAGGGTAGTGGGTAGAGGGGGTGGAGTGTACAGACAAACAAACACACACCAATAGACAAAATGCCAAATACGTATAAAAAGTAAAACTAAAACAAAAACAAATGTATCATAAAAAGTAAAAGTATATTTTTGCAATTAGACAACAATTTTTTGTCGACGGGCGACTGCAGTTGTTGAAATTTTGCCAAAAGAAATAGTGTTTTATTTTTTTGTATGTACATAAATCAAATAATTAGTTTGAAATAAAATGCGAATACTCGAGCATACAGACAAGAGTTTGTATTTACATAAATTGTGAATGTGGGGAAAATAAAACAAATATAACAAGATGGGCGTACACAGAGAGTGAGTGAGAGATAGACAGAGTTAGAGAGAGAGAGACAGAGCCAGTGAAATGAGAACAAAAATGAAAAATTAAATCAGGAAAATAAATGCATCATAGGCAAAAAGTATCAACATCAATTCAATTTCTGACTTTTGCAACAAAAATCTTAACGGAAATGAAGTCAGTCGTCTGTCAGTGGATTTTGTCGGTGGATGTTCTTTCGGTTTTGTGTCTGCTTGTGTCAGTCTGTTGGCTGTCCTTGTTCAATTGTTTTTGTGTGTATGTGTGTATATGTGTGTGCGTTCAACTTCCGTTGTAAGCATTCCGTCCCCCTACCCGCCCACAGTCCTCATAATAGGTACATTGGCCTACGCCCATTTTGTGCTTCATTTCCGTTAATTTGTTGACATAGCGTTCTATACTCTTCAAGACAAAGTTGTTTATTATTTTACATTCTCATATTTTGTCTCTTGCTTTTGTTGTTGTTGTTGTTGTTGTTTTCTGTGCTTGTTCGCATTCTTGTTTATGGTTATTGTTGTTGTTCATGTTGTTGGTGTGTTATATTTTTCCCAGATTTTGTTTTTTCTCTTTTGAGTGCGTGTGTTCATTAAAATTGTTGAGCTCTGTTTGTTTTTGTTGAGCGAACGTGTGATTTATATATGCGTGTTGCTTCTGGCCGACGCTTCATTCCAATTTATCTCATCAATGCATCTGGCATATAACGCGTTTCTGTGGCTCTCCCTATTTGCAATGCGCCATCAATCAAACGTAGTTGGTTGTCTGGCTGGCTGGCTGGTTGGCTGGCAGGCTCGTTGGCTGGTTCTGCAGTTTACTTTGATATTTATTTATTTATTTTTGTTTTGTTTTGTTGGCTTTTTGTGCAGCTCTTTGCATATTAATTATGTTTGCCTTAATCATACATTTTTGTTTTGTTTGTTCGTATTTTCGCTTATCTGGCATTTTTCCTTATACGCTCATAGAAGACATATAAAATTAATAAACTTTATGAGAGCAACTAAGTTAAAGGCATACTAATTGCAAAGAAACTACGCAACAATCTAAATGAAATTTGTATTTATAGATAGATATACGTATATGCTTATATAGAGCTGTGGGAAATGGAGTTTGAATACTTGAACGCATGCAAAAAGTGCGCCCACAAGTAGGCAACACTTTTCTTTGCATTACAAGAAATCGCTGCCATAGCAAGCCATAGATGAAGGGGTTTACATATGCGTATGCGTATGCGTATGCGTATGGGTGTGTGCAGCCAATTGTTACATGATGTCAAAAGTTTAGCCAATATGCAGGATATATAGGTATGTATAGATGGCTTGAGCTGCTACGATGGCGCTTATATGAATGATCTATAAACTATAGGCAACTAAGACGCAGAAACACACACACACACACAGTATAAGTTCGTCAAGAGGCGCAAAAGGATAGATGGGTGTGTATGTGTGTGTGTATGGGGGGGGGGGGGGGGGGGGGGGGGGTTGTGTGTGGTGTACACCAAAGCCGTCAGAGATGTCTTCATCAGTCAGGAACAGATGCTTTGTGCAAGTTTAAGCATTACGGCGCAAACAATTTCCTCGATTAATTTACTTTCCTTTACAGCCACTGTCTGCAGTTATTTTTCCCCCCATTTTTTTGTGTCTTCTTCCTTTGTGCCGCTTGTTTGCACCATTTTCCGTTTCATATTGCCGCCGTATAAGATAGTTGGCAACTCGTTCGCAGCATACTCAAGGTAAACATTTGCTTAAAGCGCGCCGATTTCAAAGTGCTCATAAAAACTGCGAAGGCATGGGTGTGGGAGGCAGGAAAAGCGACGACGAGGACGACGACGTTGTGATGGCGATGGCGTTGGCGACGGCTGTGCGAAAGTGCAAAAAGCTCGCATGTGTGTATGGGTGTGTGTGTGTGTGTGTGTGTGTGTGTGTGTATGACATGATTGTCGGTGTGTGAGTGTGTGTGAATTACATCGTAAAAAGTTGGTTTTTATGTGATTTCGGTATTGATAACGGGTCGACGATATGCTCATTGAAATGGCGCATGTGTAAACGGCATCATTACATCTGTGTGTGTTTGTGGGTGTATGTGATTGTTTGCTTATGTGTGTGTGTGTGCTATGAAGTGCTTATGTGCCGTTCATAATATTTGAAAGCTGGTTACCAACAGATATCTACGGTTTACTATGAAAATTCTATACCTATATGCATGTAAATTTTGTTCCAACTGAATTCTGTTGTCAAATTTTTCGTTTTCGTTTTCATTTTTTTCTTTTTGTTTTTTCTTTCATGCAGCTGATCGAATTGTCACTGATTGGAAAATTTATCGGAAATTTGTCTGTTGATGTTTCGAGAAATCAATTGAAAAAGAGGAAACAAAAGTATTGTAAGAATTGATTCTAAGTAGAAAACAAGCTTTAAGAACAATAAAACGGAACTAAATGTGGCCAGAGAAAGGCAAAGAGTTAGAATACAAATTGAATATAGAATATACAAAAGGGAAACGGTATTAAATACACTGCAACACATGCACGTACCCGTGTTGGTTTTACTGTTACAGTAATCAGTCAAAAACTTCTCCAGTGTAAAGCGAGGTAGGTGTAAGTTCTTAACCACTTGCACCGGATCACCTTCCTTCCATAGGAAGACCAAATCATTGGTGGTCCAGCCATCTGTAATAAATAATGCCATCATTTATGATATGCCTAATAGTATATGTATATAGGATGTGGTTTAGCTTACAGCTCGCCATGCGTAGTGAACAGATTTGTCTATCCAGCGGATATAGTTTGAGATTCATTGGGCAGGCCAATGTCAATGAGATACGTATGCTGTAGAGCACCGAACCGTTGGGAAAGATGCGTATATAAACATTTGGCATAATGATGTTGTGAAAATGACCCTCCTTCTCGTTGGAGAAGAACAAATCCGGCATCCAGACACGATTTGCCTCCGTCAGTGTGAGATATTTCAGACGTCCTATGAACGAGAATACAAACGCGTAAGAATTGTTGGAAAGTTCTGTCTTTTAAAACAAATTCATTTTTAATGCCTACAAAGTTGTACAGTAAAGTTTTTAAATGTCAGATATCTACGTGTCAGATACCAATGAGTCAGATATATAAACGTCGAATGTTTAAACGACAGAATATAGTAAGTCAGAGGACTGCAAGCTAATTACACATTAGATTACTACATGTCAGAAAACTGCACGTGAGGTGCCTACAAGTCAGATTACTACACATCAGATGACTACACGTCAGATATCTACACGTTAAATGCCTATACTTCAGATGTCAACACGACAAAAATGTACACATCAGATCTCTACATGTCAGATATAAACGCCTCAGATATCAACACAACATAAAACTACACATTAGATGTATAACCGTCAGATACCAATGCCTCAGATATAAGTATAAACGGATGTTTAAACGACAGAAGTCTATAGGTCAGAGGACTACACATCAGATTACCAAACGTCAGAAAACTACATGTGAGCTGACTACAACTCAGATGTCTCAACGTCAGATTTATACACGTCAGATATATACACGTCAGATATCTACACGTTAAATGCCTATACTTCACGACAAAAATGTACACGTCACATCTACATGTCGGAAATAAACGCCTCAGATGTCAACACAACATAAACCTACACATTAGATGTCTAAACGTCAGATCTCAATGCGTCAGATGTTTACACAAATTCCTTTAATCTACAGCTCTGAAAAGTCAGTTTTTTGAATCCAAAATTAGGGAAGAATGAAATACTGACTGGCACAGAAATGAAGTTATTTATTAAGATTATTTTAAAGGTGCTAGAGAAATTTAAGATTAAAACACTCACCCTGTATATCATCGAACTTGAGACGCTCATCCGTCCACTGTTCGCGGAAGGTCAGCTGCACGCTGTACTCCTGCGGATCGACATCGAAGGTGACGATAGTGTTGATGGAATAAACACAAAATCGGATTAGTACGCGTTTTGGACCATTATTGTCGTTTAAGGGAAAATTTCAATTGAATTCAATTCCGAACTACAATGCAAATTTCGCTTCAGCCGATCAAAACGAGCTTTGTTTGTATTTAGAATTTTTGAATTGAATTTTCATTTTTGGAATGTGTGTAAGGGGCGCTTGATATTCAATTTTGTTGTATGCTTGCAATTTAGAGAGGAGGGTCTTTAGCTTTACTTTTAAACGGATGTTTAACAAAATTGTTCGATTGATTGTTTTTTTTTTTTTTTTTTTTTTTTAGCATGAAATAGCGAGCAAGGCATATTGTAAGGCGATCGGTTTTTCGAATATAAATTGATATATTTTTTCATGTAATTGAATTTAAATATATAGTATATAGTTGGAGCTGTTTGATATATTATTTCTCGTATTGTTTGAAGCGTTTGCTTATGGGCATGTTTCTGCTATTTGGCAATAAAAAAAATTCGCTGATTTTGAATCTTGTGGTAGGTACTAGTAGTAGGTCAGGGCTAGCAAACATGTCTTAAGATGCAAGAAACACAAGGCATGCAAGCAAGCAGCTGCAAACAATATTATTATCATAATCATCATCATCATCATCATGTTCTTCAGCAGCAGCAGCATAAGCATGCGTTGCCATGTCGAATCATCCAAAATGTGTTGCATACAAAACACAAAACAAGCAATAAGCGCATAGAACGTGCAACACCAACGAGCAACAAAGACAAAATGCTTAAAACTATGCCACAGCAAAAAAAGGAAGGAGAAGAAGAAAAAGAAATGCAGAATGCAAATGTACAAAAAGCGAGCAAAAGGCAGGCAAGCAATATCAGGCAATACTTAGACAGACTGAGCCAGAAGACAAAAAGGCTGACAGACAGCAAGCAGCAGGCAGCAGGCTTGTGACAAAAATTCCAGAGCACATTCCTCAATGAGCTTAACAATTGGCTTAGTTTGTGAAACAGGCATTCTACATTATTCATAACGCGTCGAGAGAGCACATTCATCATAATTATATGCACACTTATATAACTTAAGACATATCTTAAAATACATAAATACATACATAGGTAGGCATGCAAATTTCAAGCATTAATCAGACAGAGAAACAAATGCTACATAGTAGTATTTATTGATTGGTTTTAATAGTCTGCGAGTCAGCTACGAAATGTTATAATATTATGTGAAAAGCACTTAACTTCTCGATATAATTACTGGCTATATTTTTTATGAAAGTAACAAGCTCTGAGAGTTTTTTAAGCATATTTTGTAAATTTGTTAGAACGTTCTCAGGTTGAATTTGTTTTGCCAACAAAATATGCAAATTAAATCAAATTGTTGAATAAAAAGCAGTTTTTTAATATTATTTAAAAAGGAGTTTGTTACGTTTCCCAGCATTAACATATTAATATTAAACTAATTGTCAATTTGTTTCAATTTTTTTACAAAGAGCTTTATTGTTATAACCACAAATTGTGTGTAGAAACAGGAATATTTCCATTATATTTATTTCTTTTGAATTCCTTTTCAATCAGCATTTAAACCAAGAAATATTTGTAAATATATTATATATTCTGTTTTTCAATTTGAAAATTGAGAACATCTTCTTTTAAACCCAATAGACACTTCACTAATTTTTGGAAGATGAGACAGAAATTGGTTGCACAGAGTTAAATTTATACACAGTTATAACTATAGAGAAAGATATAGCTATAGTTATAGAGAGTTGTAGTTATAGAGAATTGTAGTCAAAGAGAGTTATAGTCATAGAGAGATATAGTTATAGGGAGTTATAGTTGTAGGGAGTTATAGAGAGCGGTATAGTTTTAGAGAGTTATAGTTGTAGGGAGAGGTATAGTTATAAAGAGTTATAATTTAAGTTTAGTTTAATATATCTATTAAATTTTTTTTTGACAATAAAAGTAAGTGTCAAGTGACTATAAAATTCCCACTATAGCAATAAATACATACTTTTTAAAATTTTCTTATGCTTCAAACAGAAAAAAAGAAGACAAAAGAATTTCAAGAGATCCTGTTTTTCTGATTGTTCCTACCTAAAAGACATTTTTTTAAAGCCTGTCAGTAACTTTCAAGCACAAAATTGCACAAGAACTACCAAAATGTCGCCTGCTTCAAAGATTTCAATTCGCTTCAAACTAAATAGTATTTTTAAAAGATCCATTATCAAAGTTTTGCTTTAATAATATAGAATATAGTAAGTTACAGTCCCTGCTTTATAAAACCCTTAAAACCACATTATAAAATGGCAGCTCCAATGAAAATGAAAAAATATATTGTTTTATAAGGCTGCCCAGCTTTCTATAAACAATCACAGTATTTGTCACCTAGAAAATTTGTCAAATATTCAATTAAAATTGCTTTGATTGTCATTCGTAGTCCATCATATAAATTTGTAATATTCATATACATGCTGCAATATAAACATAGATATGCATATATATCTATTATGTAAAAGAGATAAGAGAGCATGCCAAAAAGTTGAAAAACGAATTCAACTGAAAATGGGGGGCGGAACTTTGTTAAATCATTCTAAAATAAAATCAAAATATCAAATCAATAAATAACAAGAAAAAACTATTTCAAAATTGATGAAAAACGATGGTAAAAGAAATTGTTGAAATCAGCCTAGTGATGTATATGTTCTAAAAAATATGCTCTAAAGCAATGCAATATTGTTGTAGTTGTTGTTGATTTTGTGTTGCATTTTGCATGAATTTGAATATTCGATACGATTTATGTCTATTTTGTTAGCCTATGGTTTGAGAGTCAGAGATACTATATACTTGTAGTATGTATGTTCGATGTACGATATAGTGATGGACACTAAGGCCAACGGCATAAAACAATCTCGCGATATGATAACAGGCCATCCAGCTGGCACCAATTAATCAACAAATAAAACAAATTAAGAGATAAATTTAATACAAATAATAAATGCACTATAAAAATATGTATGCACGAGTATATAACTATAAATATATGGATGGATTTTTTTCTGCCCAGCCGTTGCTTGTCAGAGCTGTCAGTTTTTGTATAAGTTTTGTGTAAATGACGCCGGGACTTTGCTTTTGTATATGAACGGAAATGAACTGACCAAATGGACAAATGGCATGAATATAATAGCAATAGCTTTTTTCTCTTTTTTTTTTGTTATAATTGTATTGTGCATTGGTTTTCAGTTCTACTTTTGTACTTACAGTTACGCGTAAATTGTATTGACCTGTCTGTTCGATATTTACTTATCAGTATATTTTTTGCTTTCACTTTTGCAACTCTGATGTGCATTTTTAGCATGTGTGGTAAGCATTTTTTCCTCTTTCATTTATAATATAAATGTATATACTATATATTATATATTGTATATTTGTAGATAGACATTTGTTATTGTTGTTGTTGCTGTTCGCATTTCGTAAGTGAAACTCAAAAGTACAGCACAGAAGCTTCGGGTGTAGGACATTTATAATAAATTAGAATCATTAAAGTTTGTGATGCTGATTAATGATATTAAAAGTATGCGATGAAGTCGAACACAGAAGTGATTTTGATTGGCAAGTGAACACATGTGGCGCCTTTGTTTACTGTAATTGTTGTCGGTGGTTCTGGTGGTAGTGGTGTTGGCTGTGGAAGCTGTGGAGTTGGTGGTTGTGGTGGTGGTGGTGCTGCTGGTGTTGCTCTTAACATTTAAATTAGGCTTAGGGCTTAGGCGTTAATACTTAGTCATTACTCTAATTGGAATCTCAAATAGTTTGCAAAAACTGGACACTTACTTTTAAGTGGACTTAAAAGTTGTTAGCCCCCCTTTAAAACTAGCTTAAAACATTGTTGCTAATTAATTAGTAAACTTAATAGTTAATAGCAGAGAGCGCGTTAGAGCTGATTTTTAGTTGAGAGTGTGTGTTTTCTTTTTGAGAATCCATTGTATTTTTTTTTTGAATTTAGTTAAAGAAAGTAAGATAAAATCAGTGGAAAGAAAGCACTAGAAATTCATAATGTAAATTTGTACAGTTTAGAAGTTAAGGGAAACCAAAGAGTGGAGAGTTTAGAATAGAAACAAAAGTTTAGTTCACATTTGCATATAGCATAGAATATATAGATTGTATAATACAGTTACATATACATATGTTTGTATGCATATATTGAAAGCATAAATATACGAGTATTGTACACTTAAATAATATGTAGTAGGAAAATGATATCCACAGAGTCACAGAGTGGTGGGGAATCGGACGAAATACTGTTACCGATTCGATGAGACCGAATATATGTATATAGTATATTGAAATTATTCAAATTGCTTTGTACAGAAACGAAAACATGTATCATCACATACATCAAAAGTTAAGTAATGTTATTGTTAATTTGTTCAATCATATACATATATGCATAGATATTTATTAGTTGTTTTATATAGACAATGTTTTTCTTTTGGCTTTTCACACACACACACACGCACACAGACGCACGCACAAAATCAAATTAGATCAGCGATTATATTTGATTAGAAATAGACACACAGACGATTCGAGCAAAGTGCATAAGCGCTGGGGTCTCTGATAAGAGTAGTGGTGTTGGTTTCTTGTTTAGCCCTATAGGGTATTGCAAATTGTAAATTGCAAATTGCTTGCCACACTCACCATTTTGTAATCGTCGATTTTCGATATGGAGCGTAGGAACATGTTGACATACACATACGTGGGCAAATTCTCTAAAATATTCATATCAAATCGGAGCGCATTTGCTTGAGTGAATTTGTTTGTTATTCTTATAATTTCCGGCAATTGTTTCACAAATATATGTATACACAATATATATATATAAATATATATTATCTTATTATACTTAAACTAGCATTATGTCTAGCTTACTTATCTGTTAAGTTTAGACGCCTGCAATTTAGTTTTATACTCATATTTTGATGAATTTTTGTGTGCACGAAATGTATGTTCAAAATGAAAGATTAATTTTAAAACTTAAACCAACAACGAATTAATAAATTATAGTTTAATCACAAAAAATGTCTGCATGGATCTCATTCGAAAAAATGAAGTTTTCTTTTTTGTGTTTTATGAATTAGAATTTGTTTATCAATTGCGCTCTACTTTTTGCTTCGGTTTTTTTTTTGGTTTTTGTTTGTTTAAATTTGTCATTTAGGTATTGTTTTGCGTAATTTTGATTTTGATTTTGAGTTTCAATTTTTAATCTGTTTTGCAAAATGCATGCCACACATTTTCATTACAGTTGGTTCATTATAGTGTTTGTCTTTATTGTAGAAAGTCAGATACGAAAAATTTCCTGTTACAACATTGTATTTAATATGTATATAAAACGCATGTTTGTTTATTTGTTTGTAAATTGTTTGGGGCGTTATGAACATAAAAAGAAAATATATTACTTTCAGTATTAAATTAAACGAAAAGGTATTGTGATTTATTTTACAGGGGGGTGTTGCTGGACCAAAAACAATTAATGAGTGGTGGGGGGTTGGGGGGTTTTTTAACACACTTAGTACAAAGCACACAAAAATGAACACGTCACATTTTATTTTGTTGTCGTACATAATTATGTTGCTATATATGTATTAGTTGAGCATAAATTAATTCAATAAACGAATGGTTAATAGTAATGGAAAATGTGAAAAAATATAGAAATACATTAAGAGCTGTTGTTAACGTTTGGGGTTTGCTTTTTAATTAATTTGTAATGACAGGGACATGGCTCGAGGCCTTGTCATTTCAATTAAACATTAAAGAGTTATTAGATTAATGTATGGTTAAGAGTAATTGGAATTGTTTGAAATTATTTGAGAGACAGAGAATCGTTGCAAATTATTATGAGTAGAGTAGAGTAATAAACTAGGCTAGATTAGTAATATGTTCCAAATAAAGATATAGAGAGCGTAAGAGAGACAGTTAGAGTTAGAGAAGGTGTAGCTTAGAAAAGAGAGATCCAAAGACATTTTTTAAGAACTTATTTCCTTTTAGTTTTTGTTTTTAGAAAACCATCGCATCAATTCGAAATATATTTTATTTTACATTTTTGTATGCAAAGAACGTAAGAAGTTAAGAAACAACTAAATAGAATACCAAAAAGAATACAAAAATAAGACAACTAATGGAAGTTAACAAATATACCAATGCTTTTGGGAACTTAAAGATGAATTACACAACCAATATGCAAATACTAATTCAAATGCTAAAGTATTATTAATTTAGAGTCATGTTTTCTTGTATGGGTGTAACGCTTGCAAACTATTGTATCTTAAAATCGATTTATATTCTCACTTATCGCTTTGGCAAATAATTGTATTTTAGTTATCATTTCATCTTTAGAAGTTGGAAACGATTGCATGACTGTCTTTCCATTTCACGATTTGCAAGAAATATTACCTATTTTTATTCGAATTTTTTTAAATAACCTATTTTGGTGGAGTTTTTGTAATTGACCATTTCCAAATCAATTATTAAAGATGACTTTTCATGACAACTTATTTCTGATGATTCATTGCTGCATTTTCTAGTCGATTTATTTTAGATGACACTTTATAATTCGCTTCTTTTTAATTAATTTACTCGTATGTTAACTGATTCATTGTAGTTGATTAAACAATTTAGTCACTCTTTATTAATAGTCTTTTTTCTTCGATTATTTTCATTCAAACTACATTTTATTAATTTTTTTCCGTAAAAATTCTCTTTTTTCAGTCAGCTGCTTAGTCGACTCTTTTCGGACAAATCTTTCCAGTTGACTTTTTCCAGTCAGTCTTCTCAGTATATTTTTTCCAGGTTTGTTCCATAGGTAAAACAAACGAATAGGAGGAATAGATCATTTCTTAATAGGAAGGGTATTATTATTTCTAGCTATTGACAATCCATAAGCGAAAAATCGGAAACTGCAAATCGCGATAAGTGAGAGCAAGTAATCAATTTTAATTCTGCTTTTATGTTGCCAACAATACGAATGGTTTGCAAATGCGTTAAAATGTTTTTGATGTTAAATAAAATTGTGTAACTAATTTGTATGTTTATTTTTGGGTTGCTTGTCTCCACTAATTATTTGAAATGAAAGCAAATTATTTGATTACATTGAAAACGAAAAATATCACATCGATAGTCAAACAATTAATCATATTATGTATTAAGTAATTACCAATATTAGATATTCATATATGTATATATATAGTATATGTTATGTATGTATATAGCATAAATATAAGTTATTCATATGTCATAGGTAAAAAGTTGTTATCTGTGTTGGCGCGGCTGGTTGTGAGAAGGCCTGACAATATATGACTAGAAGTAGGTACGACTAACAGCAGATAAACGGGCTATATTCGGGGTATATAGTATATAGAAACCTGACCAAAAGTGAGACGATGTCCGAAAAACGAAGACGTATGCACACACATGGATAGTTAAGCAAACACACACACATAGTTGTGGTCTAGATACAAAGACAAGGCTAAGAGTGTCTGTCTGTCTGCCTGTTATTTTTGTTGTTGTTGTTGTTGTTGGATTTTCAGTTTCAATTTAATAGATTTTTTTCACGCACTTACCATGGTTACATCATCGATTTTCGATATACTTCTAACGAATATGTTGACGCGCACAACAGCGGGACCATCTGGAGGATGATACATATATAGATAGACCGTTTTGTATAATGTTCATGGTAATAAACAAATTTAACAACTGGCTTCCACTTTTTTTTACTAGTTTTTTTCTTTACATATTTGTTTTTTTTCTTTGCTGTTGGGTCTCTGGAAAGTTGGCCTGTTTTTTATTATCATTTGATTTCTGCTGCTGCATTTGCATTAAAACTTAACAGATAAAATATTGTAAGTGTTTGCGGACATTTTGTTTTATGTTGGCTGCAATAAAGTTGTATTTTATAGCTATACACTATATACAGATTTATATATGTATATTTGTATATAGTATATATTTACGTACGACAAGTTGGGCGTCGGCGCGCTGACAAACTTACTTAAAACTAAAGCTAAGCTAAGCTAAGCTAAGCTAAGTAAGAGTTGTTCTGGCTTTTATTACTATTATGTTTATGTTTATTTTAGGCTAAAAGTTAAGCTAAAATAGATGCGTTGTTGTTGTACTTAATGTCGTTATTGTTGTTATTGTTGTTGTTGTTTATTTGATTGTTACTACAAGATTAAAATGCTGTTTGGTATGAGAACTAGAAGTTGCTTCTGAGGGTTGGTTGGGTGTTTGGTTTTATTATCTCATCATTGTTTTTTTCTTGCTCGATTATGGACAAATGCATAAACAACAAATGGGTCGGCATGTTCAACTAAAAGGTTGTAGAAAATTATGCAAAATTATTAAGGAAACTTGTACGCCTCAAAACATTATGGGAGTTTGTGGTAATTGATAGTATGCTTTAATAATTAATATAGCTATAGGTTATTTAACAAACACTGGACACTAGATTCGATTCTCATATTTATATACTTTTGACTTTCTCTTTGCTGCTACTGTTGTGCTGATTAATGGTAGATGTGTTTGTGGGATGGGTGTTTGTGTGTGTATGTGTAGGTGGTTGGGAAAGAGTGTGTGTATGGAGCTCTATTTAAAATATTAAAAAAAGAAAAACACAAGCAAAAAAAAAAGAAAGAAAAGCAAAAATATAAAATGAGCTAAATGGGCTCAAAACACATTAATTATTATTATAATTATTATAATAAAGGGAAAAATGGCAAAAGGTGAACTTTTAAATTCATTGTAAAGGGCAGGGCGAATGAAAATTGTTTGTCAGTCAGCGAGGGCAGGGATCTTGCTCGAGTTTGAATTGAATTGTGTTTGTTGATGAGCTTCGATTGGAAATAAAATGTTGAAAATGTTGAAAATGTGAACTGCTAGCTCTATTCATATATATATAAAACGATCGCTGCTCTATAACTTTGCAACTGGCAACTTTGTAACTTGTAGTATAGTAGCATGAGTTGTAGTTAAAGTTAATATAACCATGGCCAAGAAAGGAAATGCAACAAACGCTTGCATAAAACTTCAACTGAAATATAATATACCAGAATACACAATACAAACTTCAGAACTTCAAACTTCTGCTGCTAGCTTGTCTTCAACACAAAAAACAAAAAAAAAGAAAACAAAACAGAAAACAATTGAAAAAAAAAAAATGGAAAAGAACTAAAATTTTCAATAGCCAGAGGAGAGCAAGTGGGGGAAAACCAACTTGAACGCAAAACAAACAAAGTGTAAACTGTGTTTAAACTTATATATAGTAGTAGTAGTATATATATGTATATATAAATGTTTGTATGTATGTATATATGTATGTATGTATGTGTGTGTGTGTGTGGCACTAGTAGTTAAGTGGCAGAGCAGAGTATATAATTGTAGGTAACAAACTGCACGCTACTGAGAAACTTTTGCTTATATTTCGTTTAAAAAAATATAGTATATGCATGTCTGGTGCGTCTTTTAAAAATGATTTGTAAAATACAAGTAGAGAGAGATATATATATAGAGAGACAGAGCTTGAGAGGTGGAGAGCGAGCGAGCGATGGGGACAATAATTATTTTGTTAATTGTATTTTTTCTTTGGACGAATTCGTTTACTAATTTTGTGGCATTTGTGTTGGCTGATATAATTGGTAGTTGGGTGGGTAGTTAAGTGGGTAGTGGGGTAAGTAGTTGGGTAGTGGTAGGGGTAGGTACGTTGGAGTGCTTATAGCAACTTACCATTTTAATATCACTAATCGTCATAATACTGCGTACGAATAGATTGATTCTGACTATGGCGGGACCATCTGGCATAGAGTTTGATTTGTTGATTTGTTCAAATAGTATGTGATAAAACATTAACGTTTGTTAGCTTAAACTGATCTACATAAATGTCCATAAATGAGCCTCTTGCTAAGCTAAACAACGCAATGCATGAGCTGACTGATTTTTCATTTGACTAATCACTATACTAAGTAGTTATGGGAATTTTATGATCTTTTTTTGTTGTGTGTGTTTTAATTTAATTTAATTTATCCGCATTTTTGTGTTCAATACTTATAGCTAGTAATCAACTTACAATTGTTTAACTCTAATTATGACCAATAGTTGTTATGACAATCAATAATGTTAACATTAGTCAGAGAAATTATGAGGAAACAAAAGCATTACTTCAAATGTTCAACTCAAAATGTTAAACGAATAATTCAACAGAATATTGTAGTATATGGTTTGTTATATTAAGAAAAGAAAAGTATATATATGTATATGTTTTTATTTATTTATTGCTCACCTGTGCCATTAATTCCCGACGGTCGTATTCTGGCATCGTATTTGCCTGCACCTAAAATTTGATCTAAGACTTTTTTCTCCTTTTCTCGGAAATTTATTTTGGCATTATTTGCTCTGAAATCAGGATATGGATAGGCACGCACGTATAATTTTAATTTTATATAATATTTGTAAATCGGTTCGTATTTTTGTTGATGTTGTTGTTTTTGTGTTTAGAGAATATTCTGAAGTTGTTTTGAAAAAAGTTGTAATTTGTTGCAATTGAGTTGGAAGTGGAAAAAAATTTGTTAAAAATATACACATTTCTTCTTATTCTTCTTGTTATTGTGTTCTGATAATTTTTGCGTTTATATACAAATTGGGTGTTCGTATGTGTGAGTGTGTGTAATTGTAGTGTGTATTGGAATAGTCTTTATTATTATACACTGTCGCACATATCAGAAGTCCAGGCAGAGCCACATTAGCTGTTCGCTCTGTCCTCGACTTGAGCGTAAATAATTCCAAAATTTATGCTCCGACAAAAAATTGGACACAAAAATTAATTACATTTTAATGATGCTATGAAGTGAAATATGTTGTTGTTGCTGTTGTTGTTGTTGCTGTTGTTATTATTATTATTATAAATGCACAATAACATAGATACAAGTTGATTGTTATTTGTGGTTCTTCTCGCTATTGTTATTGAAGTGGTGGACAAAGCAGCAAAAAAAATAAACACAACCAAAACGGATGGCAAAATAAATTACAGCTGACTACAGCGCTACTTGAAATAAGTACGAGTACGAGTACGAGTACGAGTACGTGGTATGCAAATGTTCGGAGGCTCGGCCAGTGATTGTGGGCGGGGCAGCATCCTTCGTTGGCTGCCACTCGATGCCGAGCCAACAAGTTGGCCGACAAATTAATGGCAATTGCATGTAAATTGCATCGCATTGAGCGCCACTTTATGTACATTCTATAGGTATGTACATATGTATATACTTGTAGTACTTATTATACATATTTACAACTACATATAACAAGGGAGCGATGGCGCAGTATTTAAATAAAACTCAACAAAATGTAGGGCGACGTTATGAAAGCGTTCAACTTTTTGCAACTACTGTGTGGAGCTTGTGGCTTGAATACGTGGATTTATGGCTCTGTACTTACAGTGAGGCGCTACACAGACTGGCAAAGTAAAAGATCGCCCAGAAGTAGTGTCCGGTGCCCATGGCTATTAATGGCAACCTCCTGGCTGGCCTCGACCCTCTCTCTCTTTCTCTCTCCCTCTCTCTCTCTCTCTTGCTCGTCTACTTTTCAAGAAGCGTCGCGACGCGACGGCTGCTGCGACTCGACTTTGCCTTCGCTTCTCAGTCCCTTATTGCTTATTTCTTTTGTTATTCGTTGTTGTGCTCTGTAATGGAAAGGAATACTTAAATAAGTCAAAAGCTATTTTGCCAAAGTAAATAAATAATACTAGTGGATAAACAATGAGGGAAATTCAGTTGTTCAGGTAATTACATTATTTTTATACCGGAATGATGCTACAAGCCATCTAATGATGAATCGACGTATATAACAGGAAGTCTTTCAACTACAATGTATATAGAACGATAAACTACTTTACAAATTGTAGAACTTTCTCCATAGCGCCGTTTTGTATTCTTTTAGTGTTTGAATATATTAGTAAACGCAGTCAGACAACTATTTTATAAAGTTATAGAGGATAAACAATGAGGGAAATTAAGTTGTTCAGGTAATTACATTATTTGTATACCGAAATGATGATACAATCCATCTAATGATGAATCGACGTATATGACAGGAAGTCTTTCAGTTGCAATTTATATAGAACGACCAACTACTTTACAATTTGTAGAACTTTCTCCATAACAGAGTTATTTTATTTTATATTCTTGTGGTATTCGCAGACAACTATTTTATAAAGTGGGCTATTTTATAGATGTCTACGTACAACTCAAGTATATTAATATATTCTGTTTATAATTTAACTCTCTTACAACATATTTCTGTTTTTAAATAAACTGGATGTTAAGCTGGCTATACAATAAAAACCATAAATACATAACTCATCTAAATTACCAATTACTGTTTTTTTTTATTAAAGAAAGGCATAGATATTTACAATGATAATGAAATGAATACAATTGTCTCCTGGTGCGGCCTTGAAAAAATGTTACCTACAAACAGGAAAATTAAACATTTGATAACCCTAAATTGAATTTATTTTTCTTCTTTTCAAAAAAAAGTAGCTATTATATACTAATAAAATTGTCGATATTTATTGATTATTTATTGATAAGTGGCTTTTACTGCTAAATAAATTTAAATAGTAAGCAAATTTAAAAAAATTTTAAATAAAATGAATTTGGAAAAGCACGCATACATTTTCAGTAATATTCCTTATAAATATTGCAAAAGAAAGTTGTTTTTAATACTAAAAAATACCTCTCAAAAACACATCCAATTACAGCAATAAAAATTAAGAACTATTACCGTCACAGGCTGTAGAAAACTTTCTAAAAACTATTCTGTATACAATCTAATATGTCTAAACAAAGTGGGAAAAGTGTCTGCGTTGTTTGTTTTGCTGGCAATTTTTTTGGGTTTTGTGGTACTATTTTTTTTGTGATTTCTGATTAGATTATTAGTTTATCTAACATCGAATAAAAATACAAATCAAACAAATAGTTTGGTTATATTGGGAATTGTTCATAGTTAATTCAGAGTGGATACATTTGTGCCAAATGAAAATAAAATTATTTAGTTTACCAAAAATGTTGGAGGGTTTTTGCCAAGAAAACGTAGTCTGTTGCCAGTGTAGAAAAATATAAAGTGCAGCGAACACAAGATGATCGAGAATGCAGAGCGCGATCACGTTCCCGGTTACGACTAGCATGGAACACTGATAGTCGGGTACCTATAAATGCCAATTGTGCTGCATTCAACCAAGTATGATAGTGGATTAAGCTACAAATCAGTGCCAATTGTGTGTGCACACTATATGTATACATATAAATGCATAATGGGAGAGAACGCACAGATACACAAACGAATATATATATATATGCATGCGCTTTATAAGAGTAATTGGATTGGTTGGATTTGTATTAACCCCGAATAGCAGAATCACTATAAAACGTGGGATAGACTCAGATTAGCAGAACAAGGTATTTTAGAATTTTTATTAAATCACACTCACAATCTATGAAACAAAAAATGTTGGATTCAAAAAATTAATAATACCAGCCGATGGCAATCAATTTTAAAAAACTTGCATACAGTTTCGCCTCAATTCGATTCAATAAATTACCTTTAAGTGGTTTTTGATTACGAAGAGAAGAGTACGAAGAGTGCGCCCATCTTAACTCTCTGGAATTCCATTTACTTTGTCGGGCACAATCACAATCATGTTTCTTCTACCCTCTTGGGGTCATTGCTATTATCTTCCACAATCGCTTTCACGTTTTGTGTTCAGACTACAATGCACTTTCTCACGTATTATAAACGGAGTTCTCTGTATACTCTCTATAACCATCTACAGGAAAATCTCTGACCAGAAACGGCTGTAAGATGGGACTGGCAATTATTATATTTCTCCAATTAAGGTTATGGCGCTCTTGATAAGAATTGGGATTACCCCTGCTATTTCACAGTTTTTACGTTACTTTTTTAGTCTGTTAGAAATAATAGCACATTCGAGAAAATAACTGACTAGCCGATTGTCGAACAAAACTCTGCCAACAATAGAGCTGGAAAAATAATCGATGGCACTATCGATGTATCGATGATTTGCTCACAACCATCGCTTGTTTTTCATTCTGTCTGGAGAAGTGAAACAGAAAGGATATAAGTAAAATTTAGAAACAAGACTCTGTCAACAAGCCATTTATAAACAACTTAACATTTTCTTTTTTAATAATGTTTGAATTTTCGTTTTTGCTTTCAAGTCGAATTATATGTATGTATCGGTAAATTTCCAATAAGAGCAAATAAATAATAAATACAGGTATCTTGCACTCTCTAATTAAGCATTGAATGCGGCTTGCAAGGATTCTTATTAAGTTTCAAGCTAGCTAGCATATTGAACTATTTCCCATACAAGTGATGAGTTCGACAATCAATTTCTTGATTATTATTGCCATGCTCCAGCAGAAACTGGAAACCCACCCAGAATTTGTGTTCACACCCACGCACATGTGCATACGGAGAGATGTAAGCTGATGGTCTTTGTGTAGCGTGTGAAATCAAATACAAAATCAAATTAGGCCAATTAACATGCCATTTGGCCATATCTCTCTCTCTCTCTCTCTCTCTCTCTCCTCTCTCTCTCCTCTCTCTCTCTCTCTGTATGCTTGTTTGTTAATATGCATGGAAAGGCCATAAATTTGCGGAAAATTTGAGAAATGTGAGGCACTTGGAGTGGCATTTAAAGCAAAGGTCGGTTCGATGAAAATGTTTCAGCAGACAACTGCAGCAAAAATGAACTTCTTCCACAGCCCTGTAGATATATATTTTAATTGAGTATTATGCAATACTTTCATAAGTTCTCCAGCAGCCTGCAAGTCTTTTGTGAGAACGAAAAATTCCAGAAACTTATTTCAACAATTGCATAACAAAGGATGCAGGTTGTGTCCCTACTGGCAGCTCTTCTGGCTCTTTAAGCACTGCACTTATTGCCTGTCATTGACCATAAAAAATGCAGCAGACCAAATGAGCGAATGAACCGCTGTGGAACCTCGTCCACCGCGTCCTTCCCATCCTCCAGTTGCTGCATATTCGTATGTAAATTGCATTTATTGTGCAATCAACGCTCTGTTGGTTGAAAGCAAAAAATCATTATGCCAGAGCCCAACAGTTGTGAAGCCTCCAGCTGGCTATCAGTTGGGCATTTAAAACAATGCCAACCATTGCTGAGTGGGTGCATAGTGGGTGGCTCGTGGGTGGGCCGGGGCGGCTGCTTCATGTCCGCAGGCATGCAAATGCGAAGATTGCAATTAAATTAATCCTTTATAAGCATTTTTGTGCATCACGATAAGTGCATTGCGTGATGAGAATTGCGTGCGTGTGTGAGTTTGTGTTGCGTGCATGACTGCCACGCCCAATATTTTAATACTCTTATCTTCAGGGGCATGCCAGTGACTAACAGACATCAGAGTGACAAGTCCACTCTACCATGTTCTCATTATGTTCGACTGTATGAACCGCCAGCTTTTTTGAACCCTAACAGCTGGAGTCATCATCTTTAGCCATGTCGGTTTCTTTTCTATATAGGCAGCCCAAGTTTATTACAAATAATGTATAGTTTTATTTTTGTATTTAACTTCTTTAGGATCGATTAGTAAATTATTTCTAGTACTGAACAAATTATTTGTTCATTACGGTATCATAACAAAAATTTTATGCACTGATTTAATGTTTAATCAAAATCAGGGCTTCATAAATGAAATAAATTAATTGTTAAGTTTATTTAACCAATTTAATGATTGAGTCTGCTTAAACAAAAAATCAGGGTTTTATAAGTAACTTGGTTTTGCTTCTTAAAGTGTGAAGAAACAGGTTCGTTTCGATGTAATTAATTTATTAATATGTCGCCAACAATTTTTTACAGAGATTTTTATGATTCGCTACTCTCTTGTAAAGCTTTGTCGTTAACTAGGAAATAATAATTTAGTTAGGATTAACTTAGATTTTTAAAAACTATTAAAACTTTTCTCAAGCTTCAAAATTGTTTAGAAAATCTGTAATATTTATAGAAAGATCTCTGAATCAATTGTAGTGGCAAATTTGTTAATAAGCGCAGGAGTAATTTCTCCAGGGGATGATCAGATTTCGTAGATTAAGATAAAGTAGACTGCAACTTATCGGGATAAATCATTGCATCTTTCGATTTCTTTATCAGAGAGCTTGTCATCAGGCGCCTGGTACTCTATCGACCTTGCGCGAAATTGAAGAACAGAGCACAGTATTTAAGGCTTTTTTTTTTTGTTTTAAGAACGGAAAACACTTTTTAAAGTCAATTTTTGTTGGCTATATAAAACACTCTTCCCTTTAGAGTGACACATTTATCCTGCATACCAATTTCGAAAAGCGAAGTTTGTTTTTAAAAATCACAAAGAGCTCACGTTTTTTGGATATTAATTGGATTTTTTACGTTAGTTTTTTTTTCCTAGCGTTGAATACAGTTTTAATGACTTTTGAGGGGCGTGGCGTTGGTTCTACAGAGTACAAAAGATTTGGACACGCGGCACTCTACATATTTTATTTTCTGTAAGTGCGTCGAATGACAATGGCAGTATGTTGGAGAGCAGGCCATAGGCTGCAGGACACTGACAGTGGCAGTGGCAGCTGTTGTGGCTGTGTCCTGTGGCTGCTGCTTCTGTTGTTGTTGTT